TTACCTTGCTTGTCAACAGGACACCATACGGATTTTGTCACTGTGTGTGTTGTAGAACTTTGCAATTCATTCATTCATTTTGTTTGGGAATAAAAGACAGAGCAAGTTCCGATTCTCTGGTCCTGAATGCCTACAATAGCTAGGACTAGGATTGCAAGAATTGAATTACTTCCTCCCAGGGTCTGTATTGGCAGGAAGCTGGAATCAGGAATGGCATTCCATTACTCTGATGGCGATGGGACACCTTAACAAACCCTGGTGGTGATTGGGACACCTTAACAAACATCTTAACCACAGGGCCAGATGCTGGACCCCCTGACATTCATAGTGTGCGTTTGCCATACATTTTTGAGCGCCTCCTTAGATGTGCTGTGTGTGCGTGTTTAATGACTGAGTATAAAGTCAGCTCCTGCGATACTTGGGTGCTGTAGATAATTTAAAATCTTCACATGCACACATCCCTTGTCAGACATCAAGCTGAGTTTCTCTTCAATGTTTGCTGCCTTTTTAGTCATTCAGTGGCTCCCGGGAGGCCGGTGGCGACAGCCCCTCTGTCTGATGTTTTTGGTCCCATGTGGGTTTGGAATGTTAACCACATCCTTGGACTTATGGGGCAGAGCAGTTTTGCAGGCATGAGGTAGAGAACATTCGAGAACTTTTTTCTGAGCCTGGCTTCTCCTGTGAGGCATGAGGTAACAGCAAGCCCATGAGGTAGGGATGCATGACCCTGCAGCGGAACGCTCCATGAGGTCCCATGAGGACGAGCAGGGGTGGAGTTCTGGGTGCCCCAGCAAGGCCACGAGGTCAGATGGCTCACTTGTGCTGCTCACCCCGCTCCACCCTGCCCCTCAGCCCCTCCTCCTTGAGCACTGCCTTGGGAACACCAAGAACACAAAAGCCAGCATGGGACATTAGAGAAGCGAACGCCCCCTGGTATGAGACGTGAGAGTCGCTGGCAGATGGGTCATGTCCTTCCTCAGGAAAAGTTCCCCATCTTGACTTCCTGATGCTTCTAGTGTTTGAGGAAATGTGCACTGTTCAACAGATATCATTCTAACATGTAGGCAGCCTTCTCACAGACTCACTGGGGAGCCGTCTGGTTTATTGATCGGTTGGCGCGGAGGGGTGGGGTCCCAGACTCGTGGATCACACAGTCCCTTGGAAATTACTTGACAAACGAAGTAGGCCAATGATTGGTAGTGTTCAAGTAGACTGTTCAAATTTGTTCTCTGTTCAAACTCTCTGTACACAGACACACACAGACATATATATATATAAACCACAGACACATAGACATTCACAAACACACACACAGACACACAGGTACATACAGACACACAGGTACATACATGTAGACATACAGGGACATAGAGACACACAGATTGAAACAAACACACAGAAACACACATAAATACATGCCCAGGCATACGCAGAGACATACACACACACACATAAACACAGTGACACACAGATACACACATAAATACACAAAGACAGACATACACAAACACGCCCCACACAGACACATGCACAAACAGACACAGGCATACACACACAGACATACACGAAAACACACATTCACACACACACACACACTGTAGACCAAGCACCAGTGTTTCTGCTTGGAGTGGACACTACCATGGGTGCTCTTTGAAGGGTGTCCCTCCCCTTTGCTGCTGCCACTTTTCCTTCCACCTGTCATGGCCTCTGGTGTTGGCTCCCTGAGGTGATACCTGTCCTGCCATTTGCTGATGGTTTTTCTACCCGCTGGTGTGAGGCTAGGGTGACTGCCAGCAGCATGAGCGGCCTGGGTCACTGGGGAACCTGGACCTGTCTGAGGAGGATATGACCAGGCTGCCCCAGCACGTGATCATGTCAATCGGAGCCAGGACACCTTCTCACAGGCTCCCTGGAGAGCCGTCTCCTCATTGATTGGTTGGCGCGGAGGGGCAGGGTCTCAGGCTGTTCAGCACAGATAGGAGGCATTGGAGCAAGGCTTCTTTCCTTGCTGTGGGCGTCCAGAACTCAGCCGAGTGGCAGCAGGTAGCTGCAGAGGAAGCTGGGGCTCTCCCGGATGCCTCCTTCCTCCGACCTATAAAGAGGTAGACGGTGGGACGCCTGGGTGAGGGGACGAGCTGCAGAGCCGTTGCAATCACTCAGCTGCAGGCAAGTGCCGCTCAGTAACCAGGTCCCTGTCCACTGTGGGCAGTCCTGCCTTGTGGAGGGCTCCTGCTGTTGAATCGGAGAGTCCCCGGGCAGGGGAGCCTTAATACCAAAGTGTGTGTTTCTCTGGCCCCGAGATGAGGCAAGAAGGCTTGGTCTGGGTTGAGTGCAGGATGGCCCATCCTGTGCAAGTCAGGCCTGGGATGCAGTACCTTCCAGCGCTTGCTGGAAAGGGAAGAGAGACTGGCCCTGCAGCCTGAGGCCTGAGTCCTCCTCTGGCTCTGTTTTCCCCGGGATTGTTTTGTTTTGCTTTTTCATACCAGTTGAACCGGTTTATTGAATTTCAACTTGTGGCAGATTTTGGATCCTTGCCCTGCGGCAGCAGTGGAGGGGGTGCTGGTATTCTAAGCTCTTTTCTCCTTTCCAAATCACCTGTTCTGTTCTGTTTTCCTGGCCTGTCTAGGACTTTCTCAAGTTTCATGATTTCACCACCACGGATTTCCTTTTGTTGTTTGAGCAGAATACTTGCCTGCCACTCGCACTCCCTGTGCTGTGGGATCCACCTGCACCACGTGGTGCTTGGCGGGGGAGTGTGACACCTGCCGTGGTGACAGGGCAGAAAGTGGAATCTCTTCTTCAAGAACAGGGAAGGATACAGATTCTTCTTTGAAGGGCCTCTGTGGGTCTCTCCCATCTCTCCCTCTTCTGTGGCTGCTGCAGGTGGATTCCTCCCTAGCAGGGACTACTAGGGGGTTGGGGAAGGGGAGTGTAGGCCCCAGGGCAGGAGAGGCTCCAGGTGGTGTGGGCCAGCTCACATGGCTACAGAACCTGGCAGCCACAGCAGCCTTGTAGGGGAGGAAGGGAAGTGACACTCCTGTAGGCAACAAGAGCAGACTGCATGAGGCCGTCTACTGGTCTGGGTTGCCCTCAGCTGTCTTTGTGGCTGCCCAGGTTTCTCTGAGAAGCACCAGTGAGGGTGATAGTGTGTTGCCCTCTGGGACGTGGGTCCCCCCCGCCACACACACACACACACACACACACACACACACACACACAGTGACTGCTCCAGACCCTGTTCTCTGGGCTGGGAAGCTCGTTCTGTCTACACCATCTAAAGCTAACACGCCCAAGTGAAGGGTTGCTCAAACCTGCCCCACGCTGTGCTCAGTGATCTCTGACCCTTGCAAGATGCAGTCCCAGGAAGTAAACCGACATGGGGAGGGCACAGGAGGAAGTGCCTCAGCGGCAGAGGCGGCTAAAAACAAAGGTTTCCCAAAGCGTGGGAACCACTAACCATCAAAGCAACCAATGAACCCAGGGAGTCTCTTCCAGCCCAGCTGGCTTCACTGAGTGAACAGAATGCCTGGCGGGGCTAGTAAGGGGCTTATCAAGGAAGCTGCCAACATCCCATGTCACAGTGTCTGGGTTCAAGACCCAGCCCTGCTGCTGGCTTATCCTTCCTGCTTTGGGTGATGCAACAGGAGATGACTCAAGTGGTTGGGTTCCTGCCAGCCTCTTCCCCCTCGGGGGAGACTTGAGCTGAGTTTCTGGCTCCTGGCTTTAACCTGGTCCAGCTCCGGCCAGGGCATCTGGAGAATGAACTAGTGAGTGGAAGATCTCTGTCTCTGCAATCAATAAAATTCAAACACACTTTTATAAAATCAAGCAAAAGTGCCACGGGATGTGAACCATTTTGAGCCCACAAAATGACCTGCCCCCAAGGGAGTCATTTTGTTTAATCCAGGTGCCACCTCACTGGGCTGGGCACCCATCGGCTTTAGTCCTGCTCTGTCACCTGCTTGGACAGCTATGCCTCTCCCTCACTGACCGGCAAGCACACGATGAAAGCTGGCCATGCCCACAGCACACGGAGCTGGCTGAGCTCTACTTCATCACCTGCTGTGTGTGTCAGGGATCTCTTCTTCCGGTCTCTTAGCTTGTCTGTCCAGCCTCCCCATGTTTTCTCAGGAACTGGCCTCAGTACATTTCTCTGGCGTCACATATTCAACTCCGCAAACATTTCAACCCTGTCATCTCAAATCCTCTGGTGGTACAAGGTTCCCCTTCCCAAGGCCCTTTGTTTGGACCAGATGTAAACTTGAATGGCATTGTGGCACACTGGGCTCAACCACTGCCTGAGATGCCTGTATCCCTCTATGGGGGCGTTGGTTCGATCCAGCTTCCTGATTGCAGCTGGGAAAGCAGTGGAGGATGGTCCAAGTGCTTGGCACTCCTGCACCCATGTGGGAGAATGACAAGAAGCTTGTGGTTCCTGGCTTCAACCTGTCTGTTGGGGCCACTTGAGAAATGGACCAGTGGATGAAATCTCTCTCTCTCTCTCTCTCTCTCTCTCTCTCTCTCTCCCCCCCCCCACCTCTATACCTCTTCCTTTCAGACACAACAGTACATAAATATTTAAAAAATAAGTAAATAAAATAAAATTTGGAGGGAAAGCATTCATATGTATGGAAGATGACTCCTACCTTTAACCAAATGTATTAAACCTCAGTCACCATAATGAAGTAATAGCCTGGCAGAATCAGTCTACAGACTTGACTTTATCTTATTTATTTGCTTACTTATTTATTCTTATTTGAAAGACAGAATTATAGAGAGAAGAGAGACAGGGATTGAGAGAGATCTTCCATTCTCTGGTTCACTTGCCAAATGGTCACAATAGCCAGAGCTAAGCCAATCTGAAGTCAGGATCCAGGAGCTTCTAGGGCTGCCATGGGAGTACAGGGGCTAAAGCATGTGGGCCATCCTCTGATGCTTTCCCAGGCCATTAGCACAGAGCTGGATTGGAAATGGAGCAGCTGGGACATGAGCCAGAGTGCGTATGGGATGTCAACACTACAGACAGAGGCTTAACTTGCAATCCACAGCACCAGCTCCTAAACCTAACTTTATTTACCGTGTTTAAGATGAACAGTGAGGAGTGTTGAGTGTTTTCCCTTATAAGACGTTGGAGAATAGGCTGTGACTCATTCTTGTCCGAGTAAGTGGACGGTGGAAGGGATGAAAGACTGCTCGCCGAGGCGGCAGCAGCTTCATCGCACCATGGCCCCCTCCATATGGTTCTCTTCCATGAGATGGAATTCTCTTTCAATGGACTCAAGGCAGAGCTGGTTCTTTCTGCTTCTTGTTTTGCAGGAGGAGCATCTGGGTGGACAGCCACTGAGCCTCGGAAAGCTGAGGGAGCTGAGCGTTGTGTCTGAGACCGTGATCCAGGCATCAGTGCGGAGGTAAGCATTGAGGGGACAGATCATACAGCAGGTGCCATGGGGAGCACGTGGCTGCTCTTCCTGCCCTTGGAGAAAGGGGCTGGGTGAACCCATGCAATGGACCGGAGCCCCATGCCAGGGGCCCGGACTCCTGGGAGGAGGCCCTGGGCAGTGGACAGACAGGAAAGCTGGGCTACAATCTTAGCTGGGGAAACTCCTTATTATTTCTTCAGTGGGCTTGTGTCCTATGGTGACCTTCAGAAAGGCCAAGGGCAGCTCTATAATGGGGCGGTTTTTTTCCTCCCTGACCTAAGCTGTGGCTATGAAAGACTTTTCATTTCTTTCTTTGAGAAACAGAGAGACAGACACAGAGACAAAGCTGCCATCCACTGGTTCACTCTCAAAGTGCCCTTATCATCCAGACCTCCAGCAGGGTGAGCAGGTCTTCACATAGCTGGCAGAGATCCCAATACATGAGCCTCCCAGAGGGGAAGGCTGGGGCCGGGAGTCACGTCTGACAGCTGGGCACAGCCCACTCCTGTGTGAGAGTCAGGTGTCTTCCCACAAGGCCAATTGCTGACTCTCCAGTTAGGTTTGTTTTTTTTTACATTGCTGCATCCTTCTGGCAAAGCTGTGCTATCTGACCTGCCTTTCTGAGAGCTGGTGAATTGTGCAAGTGTGTCCCCTGAAGCACAGCTCCTCAGGACTGTTTGCACTGGGGAAGGAGTGTTAACGGGGTGTCTGTCCCCAAGTAAACTTGGACCTCATCAGCGCCATCCTCCAACCCTAGTGAGCCTTGCGTTATCTCTGTGCGTTCCTGTGGGCCGCCTTGTGTATGGAGGCCTCTTGGGGCCCTCTTTCCCATTTGCTCACTCAAAAGGTGCTAAACAGCAACCACATGGGGCAATAGATATTACGGGTATAGCGGGAAGTGAGATGGCCAGTGTTTCTGTGTAGATAATGGATGAGTAAGTGAACAAGTGAGTAGAGGAGTGATTAGGGAGATGAGACCCCAGGGTCTGAGACTGTGTCTGCGCTCAGCTGGCCTGGCTCTGACACACACCCATGGTGTGACCTTGAGTGAGATGCACGACCTCTTGCTCTTCAGTTTCCCCATCTGTGAAATGACTCCGGCACCTTGTATCACTGTGGGGACTAAAATGATGAATGCGGTCTACACTAGGTGTATCAGAATCAGCACACATTACACCAAGCACTGAGACCTTTTTACAAACGGATGTGGAGGGCTCCCATCTGCTGCTTCACTCTTCTCGTGCCTCCACCTGCCCCAGGCCAGGGACTGAAGCTGGGAACTTTGGATTTGTGGGTGGCAGGAGAGCCCACTTACTCGAGCCATGACTGCTGCCTGCCAGGGTTTGCATTAGCAGAGAGCTGGAGGCAGGAATAGGACCCAGGCACTCCAGTGTGGGACACACACATCTTCATGGCATCTCCACAGTTAAGCCAGATACCCACCCAGCTGCTGAGTGCTCCGACAGTTCTGAGCTCACCTGGACTGCCTGGAGAGGGGTGGAGATGAATGGAATAGGGCCTTGTGAACCTGTCCACTGGAGACGCAGTGAAATGTGCACCTGACACAGGCAGGCATCCGGAAGGAAAAGCAGCTACTGTGAACTAGATCTTGAGTAGAGAAAACATTTGACAAAATCTAGTACTTTTTCAAGTTAGCAAGGAAAAAAAGACGTGACTTCAACCTGCCAGGGACACCTAAGGAAACCCTCCCCATCCACGGCAGCTAGCATCAATGTGCTGATGGGGAGTCAAGAGCTTGTCATTTAAGATCAGAGAGCAGACCTTCAGGGCTTGTATTCTGTAGGAGAGAGGGTTGACTTTAGGAATTGACTTTTTTGGTTTAAAAAAAAATTTTGTTTGTTTGTTTGGAAAGGTAGATTCTGTAGAGAGAAGAAATGACTGCAATAGTCACAGTTGAGCTGACCCGAAGCCAGGTCTTTACTGGCCTGGGGAATTCCCAGGGAGCTGAGAAAGCGTAGTTTCTGAGTGGCATCTGGGAGGTGTGTCTGGAAGAGGCAGGTGGCTGGGGAAGACCTGCCCTCAGGGTCATGAGCACTGTGCAGGAGGCTGGGAGTCTGGCTAGACCAAAAAGGCAGGGGAGATGCAGGTCCATTCTCTCTCGCTCCTGGAGCTGGGATGCACTTTCCAACTCCTACCCCTGGGCTCGGACTTGCCCCACCATTGGGTTCTCAGGCTTTCAAGCTTACACTGAGCACTACACCATCAGTTCCCCTGGTTCTGAAGCCTTCAAGCCCAGGCTGAGCTGTGCTCCCATGCCTTCGGGTTCCCTAGCTCAACACGGCCTATGGTGTGGCCTCCTAGCATCCATTATCACAGGAGCCAATTCCCATATCAGTACTCTCTCATCATCCATCCATCCATCCATCCATCCATCCAATTGGTTCTGTCTCTCTGGGGAACCTTAACCCATATGGTATTGTGCTTAAGGGTCTTGCCGGGCCAATTGCTCAAAATAAAATAAAATAAAATAAAATAAAAGGCTTCCAGATTGGAGAAAAAAGACTAGTTCTATTACTCTTGGCAGATGGCATGATCTTGCATATAGAAGAGAATTAGGAATTCATTAAGCTGTTAAAACTAATACATTTGATGAGGTTGTAGGGAACCATGTTTCTGTATATTTGTAATGAATCATCTGAAATGAAATTTTAAAATGATTCTTTTTATGATAGCACAAAAAAACAACAGAATCCATAGGAGTAAATCTAGCAAGAAATGTAGCATGTATGCTCTTGAAATTTGAAAGACATTAAAGAAGACATAATTGAATGAATACACATCCAGTGTTTGTAGATCAGAGCCAATCTCATCAAAACAGCAGGGACCCCCAAATTGATCCGCAGATGCAGTGCAATATTTGACCAATCAGTTCTGAGGCTGCTGTGGAAATTCACGAGGCCCAGAATAGTCACAAGCATTCTGAAGAACAGTAAAATATGAAAACTCAACTTCCAATTTTAAAACTTACTACAAAACTGTAATAATCAAGTCAGTCTGATATTGGCTTAAAAAGTATTCAGTGGTGCATATTATGGAAGAATTTGTGTGGAAATCAAAATTGTTTTTGTATTAAAATAAATCTCTTTTAATTCCATTTCCATGAATGCTTTGAATTCCACTTGTATATGTGGTGCTGCCATATAAGAGAGTATATGTGTTCATATATATATGTTATACATACCATTTAAGAGTGTGTTTATATATATATATATGCTTTGATATAAATATAGATATAGATGTGGTATTGGCATCTGAAACGGAATTAAGAATTTAGGACTTAAACCCACACAATTTGTGGTCAGCTAGTTTTTGGAAATGTGCCAAAACAATTCATAACAGCATCTTCAACAAATTGTAGGGACAACTGAGTTACTACACAATAAACATGAATTTGGACCCTGACCTCACACCATGTATGAAAATTCATGGAAATGGATGAAAAGGCTTAAACACAAGAATTAAACTCTTGGAGGAATGTACATTTCATGACCTTGAGTTGAATACAGCCATTCCTATGTGACACCAAGTGCCTCCGCAACAAAAACAAAATACAGAAATGAAAGGTCATCAATATTGAAAGTTTTCTATATTAAAGTACACCATCAAGCATGTGAAAACACAGCCACCAGAAAAATTGAAGATCATTATGAATCATGTGTAAGGTACTGTATCTATAATATGCAAAGAACTGTTGTGATAGTAACAAAATTACAACTCAATGAAAATGGATAATGGATCTGAATAGATAGTTATCCAAAGAACATATGCTAAGGGCCAATACATCTCTAGGAAGATTTTTCCTATCACTGCCATCTGGACCTGCTGATTGTAATAGCAGTAAGTTAACCACTTGTGCTCGTTGTGAAAGACAGATAGTGACAAATGTTGGTGAGGATTTGCAGAAATCGGAAGCCTCCTACTCTGCTGGTGGGAATACAACAGAAGTCAGTGTTTCAGAATAGAGTCTTATCATTGCTCAGACAGTTGAACATATGGCCACATGTTTAACCCAGTGGCTAAGATGCTACATTCCACGTTTCAGTGCTTGGTTGGGTATTTAGTTCTGGCGCTGGCTCCAGACTCCAGTTTCTTTGCAGTGCACATCCTGGGAGGTGACCATGATGTCTCAAGTCATTGGTTTCCCACTGCTGACTAGAGAGACCTAAACTGAATCCCTGGCTTCTAGCTTCAGCCTAACCCACCCCCGGCTGTTGCATTTGTGCGTGAGCCAGTGGATGGGAATTCCCTCCCCCTACCTCATTCTCTGTCGGTGTGTTTCTCAGATAAGTAAATAACAACTTTAAAGAATAAGTGTTTGGCTTTGTGACTCCTTGGGACACCTCTACCCATGAGTACCTAGTTCAGATCCTGGCTGCTGCTCCTCTGATCTGGCTTCCTGCAGTTGCTCATCCTGGCTAGGACTTTAGTACATAGATACTTGTCAGCCGTGTGGAAGACCAGATAAGAGTTCCAAGCTCCTGACTTTGTCCTTCCTCATTTGAGGAGTGAACTAGAAGATGAAAGAGCCCTCTGTCTGGATCTTTGTCTCTCTGCCTTTCAGACAGAATGAGAAAGCAAGGACAAATAGTTAAACATAGAATTACCATTTATAACCCAAGACTGGGTAGCTATTCCTCAGGAAAAATGAAAACCTAAGTCAGAACAAAAACACAAATGTGTGTACCACTGTTACTCATACTAGCCCAAATTGGAAAAAAAAAAAGCTCAAATACCCATCAACTAATGAATGAGTAAATAAAAGGTGGTGGTGAGTGTGTGTGTGTGTGTTCGTTCAATGGAATATTACTCAGTTCTAAACACGGAGCAGGATACTTATGTATGCTATACCATAGGTACATCTGTAAAATGTACTAAGTCAAGTGAGCCAAACCAAAAAGCCCACATTGTTAGGTGCAGTGTTATGAAGTGGATAAAGCCACTGCGTGCAACGTTGGCATCTCTGAGGA